AACATAATATGAATGTTCCTGGCAAAGTGACTGACAGAATTTTTTTACACCTAAAGCAAAGCTGATATAACAGCAAAAATATGTTGATGTTGCTTTGGGTGTGATATTTTCACAGAGGCCTGTTTAGAAAATACATAGAGCAGCCTTCAGCAGTCTATACAGACGGAGGAGCCTGCTGCAGGGTCCACAGAGCAATATTTGCATATTTCAAACACAGACCCATAGATGAGAGTTCACACGCAATACTGAAGACAATTCAGTTAATATGAGGCACTTCTAGTAGTGCCCTCTGTGGCTAGAGAGCACAGAGAAACTCTGTGTGCTGTTCTCAAGTTCTCCCACATTCTTAGCATGGGATGATAACCACCAAAAGTTACAAAGATGCATGACAACTCTCTTGACAAGAGGAAAAAACATGGGAAATATGAATAGACTTACAGCAGCAACCCCTGAAATACCTACAGGTATACAGCAGATCATAGGTAGGCTCAAGCCACAAAATGGTGATATGACCTCTCTCTCTCTCGCTACCTCCCCCATTGCCTCTCCATAGCCTGACCCTAAAAGGTGCTAAGCATCCTCCAGTCCAACTGAAATCAATCACACAATCAGGCTCACAATAAAGATGCTGGTACTATAGCTTGCACACTAGCATTTAGCCCTTGAGGTGGGGAGTTTACATGATCATACATACTTCAGCAGGTCTGATATTCCATCTAGTAAAGGGTAGTGGGAGAAGAGAAAGACAGACATAGGCCCAGATCCCGGGCCATGGCAGCACTGGGCTAAGCACAGCTCTGGAAACGGAATGGGGTATGGCTTGTGCCTCTTGATCCTTGATTGAGTGCTGGGCCAGTCCCCTGGTGGACATTAGACCAGAAAGCAGCTCTAAACTGTCCCAGCTCCCTATGGCATTAAGGAGCCATTCTGGGAGCCTCGGGATTCCCAGATCATAGGGGTTCCTCCCACCATGACACCATTTCCCTGACTGAACCCCTTGGGCTGGAGAGGGCATGAGGGTAGGCAGCATAGGAACTTCCATGTCACCCAAGGATCCCCTATACAGGGTGGATCTTCCTAAAGGTAACTAAGCTGGTTTTAGGGCAGTTTTACACCAACTGTGCCAAACTACCATGGTGTGGCTAAGGATCTGCCCCCCAGAAAGTAGTAGTATAATTCTACGCAAAAACCTACATTTAATGCAATGTTAGGGCTGAAATAGCTAATGCTCAAAAGACAGGAAATTCCAAAACGTAGGGCCCCTACACTACAGCAGCATTAAACTCATGTTCTTTTTTATTATACACAGGAATAACAAACCAACAATAGTATACTAAAGGTTATATTTAAAAAAAAAAAAAACAGGCTAGAAGATACAACCAGTATGAAAGGTGGCTGAGTTAATCTTGGAGGACCAATTTCAATTACTGCAACCTCCAGACTTTGAAGTTTTTGATAATTCAAGATTAATGCTGAGATACCACTAGTTTTTTAATATGTATTTTTCCAGACTTTTAAAGACATAATATTAGTGGAAATAAAAGAAAAAATGAAACCTGAGGCTGTCTGTCTTGTTGAACTCACCAAAGCTAACGACTTCCTTGATCAGAAGCCTATGCCAAAGATTTCCTGGACTGAGGGCGCTTTTCTCTGCAGAGCTACCAGGCTTTACTAGGGGGGCTTCCAGGATCATTGTATCTGGATCTACTATGATAAAAGTCACCCCACATGGGGAGCTCCTAAAAGATCATTGTTAATAGTGGCGACCTAAACCTAGCTATTCTTTATATAATCTGAATCTTGAATACTCAGCCCTGGCTCAGTGGGACTTGAAATATCAAACCATGTTTAAAGAAAATCATTTGAATCTGGAAAAATATTATGATGTTAAACAATTGGCAAATCCTTAAGAAATGCACTTCATGTTGCATTCAGGCTTGAATTTATTCTCAGATCTGGAAAATCAGAAATGTTTGATTTGAGTTAACCACGTGCAAAATGTCTGATTGAAACATTGGGAAAGTGCATAATTTAAAAAAATCCTAATAAAAAGTCCCCCAAATTTACTCAAGTGATTTCACTTTCCCCCAGCAAACTCAGCCCCTAACCCCCTCATCCATGGTCTGAGCTCAAGCACTGAAGATTTCAGCCCACTATTGTAACAATAGTACATATAGTATAACTAGAACTATAATTGTACATGGTGTGTGTTACATATATGCATAGAAAATGGCAAAGGGTGAAATGACCATAGTGCATTTTGTGTAAATATTTTGTTTTACGTTAATTCCTAAAATAGAGCTGTTAAGGATGAAGTTGTAGCTTTTGTTTGTGTGGATATTGTAAATATCAGGAGATCAATAAACTCATTTCTTCAATTCTTTTTAGTTCTGACTGAAAATGCACTTTTGCCTATCTATGATTATAACAACATGCCGCTCTTATATATTGTTTCTCATCTATAGAGCACTAAGTGCTTTATAAAAGGAGATCAGTATCATTATCCCCATTTTACAGATGGGGAAACTGAGGTACAGAGAGCTGAAGTGGCTTGCCCAAGGTCATCCAGCAGCAGAGCCAGGAACAGAGCCCAAATCTCCAGACTCCTACTGCAATGCACTATCTTCAAGGCCAGATTCTGCCTCTCTTACCCACCCTGAGAAGTATCTTAGGACCTGATTCAGCACAGCAGTTTTGCATTTGTTTTAAGTCCCATTGAAATCAATGGGACTTAAGCACATCCTTAAAATTAAGTGTGTGACTAAGTTGAATTGGGGCCTGTCACAGGGAAGCTGGTCCCAGTAAATGAAGTAGGTCCAGCTCCCCGGTGCCAGAGCAGACTGGTTCAGTCAGGAAGGGCAGGTAAGGGCTGCCGGGGTCAGTCAGAGGAGACTCAATGAGGGAGAGAGGCCTTGTGAGAGTCAGTCAGGAGAGGTGGGAGATTGGAAGAAGTCTCTGAGGAAAGCTCAAGAGGGAGGAATTGGCTAGGAGACTGTATGTTTGGGACCTGGGGGGAGGCTGAAGGCAGGAGAGCATTAAGATGGGTTTGCTGGATGGTGTCCCCAAGCCAGAGTGCAAGAGCCGGAGGGCTGAAGGCAGGAGAAGCAGGGAAGAGAGTTGCCTGCTGGCTCTAAGCCAGAGGGCTGAAGACAAGGGCCGGAGAGGGCTGACGGCTGGGCAGCAACAGAGAAGCTAACTGGCTGACATCTCCAGGGCCAGAGAGCTAGACCCAGAGAAACTGAGAGGGCCAGGGAATGAGGCATGCTCCCCTGGCAAGGATGCTCTCAGCAGAGAGGCTGTGGGGGTTTCTGTTGGGAAGAGCGGGGTGGCACTCCAGCTGGAAGGGATAAGAACATAAGATCGGCCATACTGGGTCAGACCAATGGTCCATCTAGCCCAGTATCTTCAGACAGTGGCCAATGCCAGGTGCTTCAGAGAGAATGAACAGAACAAGTAATCATCAAGTGATCCATCCCCTGTCGCCCATTCCCAGCTTCTGGCAAACAGAGGCTAGGGACACTTTAGAGCATGGTTTTGCATCCCTGCTCATCCTGGCCAATAGCCATTCATGGACCTATACCCCATGAACTTAGCCAGTTCTTTTTTGAACCCCGTTATAGTCTTGGCCTTCACAACATTCTCTGGCAAAGAATTCCACATGTTGGCTGTGCATTGCGTGAAGTACTTCCTTTTGTTCGTTTTAAACCTGCTGCCTATTAATGTCATTTGGTGACCCCTAGTTCTTGTGTTATGAGAAGGAGTATATAACCCTTCCTTATTCACTTCCTCCACACTAATCATGATTTTATAGACTTCTATCATATCCCCCCTTATGTCTTTTTTTCCAAGCTGAAAAGACTCAGTCTTCTTATTCTCCCCTCATATAGAAGCTGTTCCATGCCCCTAATCATTTCTGTTGCCCTTTTCTGTACCTTTTCCAATTCCAATGTCTTTTTTGAGATGGGGCGACCAGAGCTGCACGCAGTATTCAGGGTGTGGGTATACCGTGGATTTATATAGAGGCAATATGGTATTTTCTTACTATTATCTGTCCCTTTCCTAATGATTCCCAGCTGTCCTAGTATGAGGACTGGAGAGGGCTGCACCAAAGAAGTGGAGCACAGTGAGGGACCTTAAGGTTGTATGTTACACTGTTCAGACTATGCTGGGGAAATCTGGACTATGGTAATAGGACTTTTGTTATGATTAATATGCATGGGACATTTGTAATAAAATTGACCCCACAAGGCCTATTTATCTGCACAAAGACTCTGTGGACTATTTCTGGGGAGTTTGAAAGGGGAATCTGTGGCAGGCATATGCCTACCAAAACACAACAAGACACCACTCCCAGTTGGGGCGGCAGTTTGATGACAGTGTCTTACTCTGCAAGGAGGTGTGCATGCGCACATAGACAAACAGAACTTAGTAAATATTTAGCTGTCTAAGGTATTATAACTAATCACTGGAGTTTTCCTTTTCTCACAATGACTTGCATCTTAATATTTCTACCTAGTACTCAATAACTCTACCAGCTATAACTTACATTTGGCTGCTACAAGAATGACTGATCCCATAATGAATTTAGGATACAAAGAAAACTAAGTTACCTGGGCATTCATAAACAACCACATATAGACAGGACCATTATGGCATTAGCCTGGAGGAAAGCAAACTGTTTAATTAGGTTTTAATATCAGAAATACCTCTTAAAAATATAAAATCAACTTATTTCAAAAGCAAGAAGTCTAATAGCTGTGCTTTGCTTTTATATCAGTAGGTGTCACTACTGACAATGAGAATCACTGTAGCAGGTACCAGGCTATAAGAGGCAAGACACTAAACACAACCATATAGACAATAAATAAATTAAAACATCAGAAGAAAAACTGTGTATGTGAGGGGAGAGGATGTCTCTCTTTTGTACCTTTCAACCCTGAGCGGATGATAGTAGGAGACAAGTCATCATAGTTGTTCATTAAACTAATGTCTCCTGATGTGAAGCTGACAGTGAGTAGTGGTTTGGTGTTCTGCACCGGGACCGGATATGCAGCTGGACCATCTGCGAAAACAAGATTGTTGAGTAAGCAAAAAAGGAGCTATCAAATGCGATTAAATCCAGGTAAAAACACATTTCAGTCCAGCCTGCTGTCACAGTGACCAGTTCTGAGACTTGAATTCTGCCTGGTTTTTTTTTCCCCATGGACATGAGCAAAGGCAAAACACACTTGGCTAGTTAGTCTGCCTCACTGACACTATGAAACCAACCTCTGACCTGTACCCTCCCCATCCGAAGGACAATAGCTCTAGAGTGTGATCATAAGAAACTGAAAGCAAATTTTCCACTTCTCTATGGTATTCTAACATTCCTTGCCTGAAACTCTATTGTTATTCCATTTTAGGCCTACGCCACTCTCTCTCTCTCCACAACCACTCCACCCTCCCTGATGGAGCCATTTATTTCAGCTGGAGTTTGAAAGTACTGGGTAGTCAGTGTTACCAAGAAGTGACTGAGACTAGGTACTAGACATTTTTACCACAGCACATCTATAAAGTACTATACATATAATACTGCATTATACATCTTATAATCATACTTACAATTATTTGCTTGCCACATTTTATCACATTGGGGGATTCTGCTGATGACACCAGGAACATCATAAGTGCATCTGAGTATAGTAACTAGCCCCTTACAGATTACAGTGCTTTCAATGTTAAGCGCTAACTAGTGTACCCTCTGACCAGAGTTCAAATATATCTTGATGCCTACATGCAAGGGAGATATGAGCAAAGGGTCGGTCCTGGGGCCGGTCCTGTTCAATATCTTCATTAATGATCTAGAGGATGGCGTGGACTGCACTCTAAGCAAGTTTGCGGATGACACTAAACTGGGCGGAGTGGTAGATATGCTGGAGGGTAGGGATAGCATACAGAGGGACCTAGACAAATTAGAGGATTGGGCCAAAAGAAATTTGATGAGGTTCAACAAGGACAAGTGCAGAGTCCTGCACTTAGGACGGAAGAATCCCATGCACTGCTACAGACTAGGGACTGAATGGCTAGGCAGCAGTTTTGCAGAAAAGGACCTAGGGGTTACAGTGGACGAGAAGCTGGATATGAGTCGACAGTGTGCCCTTGTTGCCAAGAAGGCTAACGGCATTTTGGGCTGTATAAGAAGGGGCATTGCCAGCAGATCAAGGGATGTCATCATTCCCCTCTATTCGACATTGGTGAGGCCTCATCTGGAGTACTGTGTCCAGTTTTGGGCCTCACACTACAAGAAGGATATGGAAAAATTGGAAAGAGTCCAGCGAAGGGCAACAAAAATGATTAGGGGGCTGGAGCACATGACTTATGAGAAGAAGCTGAGGGAACTGGGATTGTTTAGTCTGCAGAAGAGAAGAATGAGGGAGGATTTGATAGCTGCTTTCAACTACCTGAAAGGGGGTTCCAAAGAGGATGGAGCTCAGCTGTTCTCAGTGGTGGCAGATGACAGAACAAGGAGTAATGGTCTCAAGTTGCAATGGGGGAGGTTTAGGTTGGATATTAGGAAAAACTTTTTCACTAAGAGGGTGGTGAAGCACTGGAATGGGTTACCTAGGGAGGTGGTGGAATCTCCTTCCTTAGAGGTTTTTAAGGTCAGGCTTGACAAAGCCCTGGCTGGGATGATTTAGTTGGGGATTGGTCCTGCTTTGAGCAGGGGGTTGGACTAGATGACCTCCTGAGGTCCCTTCCAACCCTGATATTCTATGATTCTATGAAAGGGTGTTTTGGTGACCATTTCTCAAAATGTCCTTGCCTCCATAAGCTTATTTTTCAATGTTCATGTGAAAGTTCCTTTGTATTTAATAATTAATGACCAATAGCACCATCTGTATCATTCATTATTTAATTCTCTTTGACTGGTTCTGACAGAAGACATTGCAGTCCCTAGATAAGACAGTTATCAGGACCCAAGCACAGTGTATTTTGAGTAATCAAATATGACACAGTTGGCTAAGAACAACACTGCTTCCAGAATTCACAAGAGGGGTGATCAAAAAAGTACCTGGAGGAAAGAAATTGTCGCATAGTTGGTACATTAAAAAAATAAATATATAAATGAGTAAAAATCCATCAAACGTCAAGTCCCTCCCACACATCTGTGTGAGTCAAAGGCTTGTCACCTTTGAGAAGTTTCTGATGCACCTGTAAAGCTTTAAAAAGAACACATCATGTTAGAATAATCATTAGAAGCAGGCCTGTAATGAAAGTCTACCCACTCCTGATTGACTCAGTACCAGTAAGCATGTTTCCTGCTCTATGAAGGATCATTTTGAGTTGCTAGTTCTCTCCCATCCTTCATCCAAATCCACCACCCCAAAATTGGACCCTTGATATTGCAAAATGGCAACAAAATACATCTAATTCTTTCCTCGCTGTTCATCTAAAGCTTCCTTGGAAATCTGAAGTGACTGGAATCCTTTTCATCCTCTTCTCTTACAAAGGCAAGGCTTCACCACTCCTGGAGAGGGGCTGAGGTGATGATTCATATCCATATGAAAGCTGAGCTAAACTCTCACTAGCTGATCTCACAAGATTTCTGCCACTCTAAGTTACACCTAAACTGGTTACAGAAAACATGCCCATTTTGGAGTGGATTTGAAGTAGATCTAACCTGCGAGGGCATGTTTGGAACCAACAGGTCAGATCTGAGGTGCTGGTTCAAATTCATCTTTAGTCAACATGTACTTTAATTTTCCACCGTCCCATCAACATTTACATCATTCTTTAAATTAGTTGATATACTGGAATAACTGGAATAACAATTTTGTCCCCAGCACTAGCCAAGAGGAATTTCAGTTTAGTATCTGAACTGTCCTTTTTCTGGGGGACTATATCCTGCTCTTGCAGGAGAATGGACACAACAATCTATTAGGTATTTGCCAACTCTAACTTCTATGATGGTTTAAAAAACAAATGGTGCACCTAATCATGTGATACTATACCAAGGTAAGGAGGGAGGGACTTCATCCTGACCACAACTGGCAATTAATGTATGCTTGGAAGCATGAGGACTGATAACCTCAATCACCCTTTTCCTAGCTAGTGTAACCGCAGGGCTATTTTCATGTCTAATCCTTTTATGAAACATACTAAGCTCAGGGATGGACTGCATACTGATAAGCATGATCACTGGTTAACAGGATTTCTTGGAAATAAACTCACAGTATTTATAGATATGTTTAACAGTACTGGGAATATTATTGCCATGGGTGACCCTTTATATGGATCTATATTATAATGCACTAGTTTGTCTGACTACCTGTCCTCTGACAATATGCATGAGGACTACTGGCTTATACTGCTAAAATGTGTCAGACATGCTCCGTAACGATAAGTAATGATACTACTTTGCTCTTATGCCATGTTTTTCACTCCCAGATCTCAAAGCACTTTATGAAGGTATCATTATCCCTACTTCACCAACGAAGACACCGTAGCACAGAGAGGGGAGTGACGTGCAGTGGGTCAGTGGCAGAGGTGGGAATAGAATGCAGGGCTCTCGCTCCCTGTCCAGTGTTCTATCCGCTGCCCCTTGTGGATGAAACAATTTAAGACGTATGTTCCACTACTACTATAAAGCATGACTGCTCCCTGGCACTGCTGTTAGTTAAGTGTTAGCAAACATTAAACAGAAAAAAGCTGAAGGCAACATACCTTGCGGTGGGGAGTAGTCATCAGAATCTGTGTCACTTTCACTGCTGTCCTCCACCAGGAAGCTGGGGTAGTTCCAAGACATACTGAGGATGCCATCTGACTCGTGAAGGAGAACATGTGCCAGCATTCGGCCATGGCAGTCCATGACGATAACCTGACCATCAGCAGTGCCAAACAGTACCTGAAAACAACAGAACGGGACACTTAGGAGAGAGACAGTTCCATGAAATGTAACTGATTTAAGACTTCTTAGAATACATCTTGTCAATTAACTAGGTGCATTGAAAATGAATCCAAAGCAAAGTAGTGAGGCGTTCCAAGGGTCAGTCTCTAAGGGTAGGTCTACACTTACCCGGTAGTTCGGCGGCGAGCGATCGAACTTCTGGGTTCGACTTATCGCGTCTTGTCTGGACGCGATAAGTCGAACCCGGAAGTGCTCGCCGTCGACTGCGGTACTCCTGCTCGGCGAGAGGAGTACCGCGGAGTCGACGGGGGAGCCTGCCTGCCGCGTGTGGACCGAAGTAAGTTCGAACTAAGGTACTTTGAACTTCAGCTACGTTATTCACGTAGCTGAAGTTGCGTACCTTAGTTCGACTTGGGGGGTTAGTGTAGACCTGCCCTTAGTGAGGAGTTACTGTACCAGTTTAAAGTTGTCCCAGCTAACATTGTTTCATTATTAAGCTGCTGATCTATTAGAGAACATACTTGTTTAAAGTCACGCAATGTTCCGTTATAAGGTTGTTTGGCTTGCCCCATTCCGCCCGCCCCGGTGTTCCAGCCGGAGAGAGGGGTCAGGGAGTGGGAGCTTGCCCCGTTACGCCCACCTGGCGTTCCAGCTGGGGAGCAGGGTCAGGGCACAGGGGCTTACCCAACTCCGCCCACCCAGCATTCCAGCCACGGAGTGGGCAAGCCCCCGACCCCGCTCCCCAGCAGGAGCGCCGGACAGGCAGAGTGGGGCAAGCCCCCGCACCCTGACCCCACTATGCCCCACCTGAACCAAGCTTCACAATCATCATTGGTGAGTACAGTATTAAATAGTTTGTTTAAAATTATTTAAAACTTATACTGTATATGTATATAATGTCTTTTGTCTGGTGAAAAAAATTTCCCTGAAACCTAACACCCTCCCCCCCCATTTACATTCATTCTTATGGAGAAATTGGATTTGCTTAACATCGTTTCGCTTAAAGTAGCATTTTTCAGGAACATAACTACAACGTTAAGCGAGGAGTTACTGTACTACAACCCAGAAAAAAACATGTTCAAAGAATGTTGTCAAGGTTGCAAAGTCAAGGACTCAAATTAGGAAATGCAAGAAATAAGGCTGCCTGTGCAACCTTAATTTACCCCCTTGTGCTTATGCATTAGGATATTGTTCCTGTTGACCTCAATGAGAGCGGGACTGAAGAGAGAACTTTCTGCCCACCTGATTGAAGTGGGGTGGACTGGATTTTCAGGTGAGGCCTAGGTGGGGATGCTGGGAGGCAGAACCTTAGAGGGACTGGAAAACAACCAGCTGGCCTCATTAGTTGAATAGTTTATTTGATTGTCTATTTATCCCTAAATAAACTTGATTGTGTTCCTCACTTACCCAGACTCTGAGTGTATTTGGAAGAAGGGAAGACAATTAAATTACCTTTAAGGATGACGAGGGGGTTTAAAGTTTAAGTTCCTAAAATCTGAGTAAGGTTTCAGGTGAGGACTCAGGACAAACTATTTGTTTATTTTAAATGGAACCCCTACACATTATTTGAACCTTGCCCTTACTGCTGTTAATGGCATGTGTGAGAAAGATTATAAGAGTGTTTACAATACCTATAGAGTTTATATAATCCAGAACACCAAGAGGTGGAGAAAGGAGAATGTGTCCGCTGTTACAATACTAAAGGGACAGATGACTAAGTGAAGTTTTAGCAGAGATTTCAAATGGATTATGAAAAACACAAAGGTGGATAGAGGAGGATGAACTATTCAATTGATGAGCAACAGTTTGGGAGAAAGTGGGAGAATGTCCTCCGACAACCGTGACAAAAGACAATACAGACGCCCCCCGACTTATGCAATCATTCCGTTCTGGAAAGCCTCGCGTAACTCGAATTTTGCGTAAGTCAGAAACGTATACCCGTACGTTACGCAAAAATTCTGCAACTCGAAAATCCTATTTCTGGCTTATGGAACTTTTTCCGTAAGTGTAAATTTGCATAAGTCGGGTCTTGCGTAACCTGGGGAGTATCTGTACAATCAATCAACTGGAACTAGATCATTATAGCCCAGGAGGAAGGCAATATGTTACACCTTCAGGAAAAGATAGAGGAGAGCTTCCACCCACTATATCAAACACAAAATGGATGATGTGAGGATTTTTCTTGTTTAAAATAGTATTTAACTATGACACACTAAGTCCACAGAAACTGGAACTTACAGTTCTCTCTCCCTTAAGCATGTCCTGTGCCTTTATGTTTTGAACAAGTTAAGGTCTCTATGTTTAGAGAATTTTAGAAGACTAGCAACCAACAACAAAGAAGTTATAATAATGAATCCATGAAATGACAAATGTATTATTCAAGGCGGCTGCTGCTACCACATAGTTCTAACCGAGACAAGTATATTTTAGGCAAATTTAACTGAACAACTTGAAATCTAGTGAGTTTCCAAAAAGGAATTAAAAGTAGTTTTATGTACCACATCTGCCCCTTAGTGCACTACGTAATTTTGTGGGTTTACCCTTACATTTTTCACTATTTCAAATGTGTTTCTCTATCCTATTGCTGTGTGAAACACCCATATAAATAAAAGGGGAAACTGACTGACTACACAGGGGAAACAGTGAAAATGTACAAATTAAACAAGCTAGGGAGAGGGGAAATACAGATTTTATTTTCTTATTTACTACAGTGATCCTAGGTTCTACTGGTACAAATAGTACTTTAAAACGTTTCAGGCAGAAATGTAATTATAAAGTTCTTTCCAAGCAGATGAAAGGAGGACACATTCCATATTTCCCATCATGTGGTGAGCACAGGAGCGGCACCAGGGCTTTTGGCGCCCTAGGCGGGGGTCCTTCCGCGCTCCCGGTCGTCGTCGGCAATTCTGCGGCGGGGGGGTCCTTCCGCGCTCCCGGTCTTCGGGGCACTTCAGCGGCGGGTCCCAGAGCGAGTGAAGGACCCGCCGCAGAATTGCCGCCGAAGACCCGGAGCGCGGAAGGACACCCCGCCGCCAAATTGCCGCCCCCCCAAATCCTGGTGACCGCCTAGGTCGCCTAAATGGAAGCGCTGGCCCTGGGTGAGCAACAGCTACAGAAAACTGAAAGTGAGAGGAGGTAATGGAAATGGGGGAAGAGCTTGGGGAAGCTTTTCATGGCTGGAAGTTTAAAAAAATATATTAAACAATGCAAGCCAAATCCTGCTCTCACTTACACTGGTACAAACCTGGAGTAACTCCACAGGGAACTTCAATGAAGGCCTTATTGAAGGCAATGGCGTTATTCCACATTAGCACTGCTATAAGTCAAAGTAGAATTTGGTCATTAACTATAATCACTATATGATACAAATGCTTGTGTGCTAAATTCTGATGAATGTATATGCTAAATAATGGTTTGGTTACCAGCCTGCCAATATCATCTTTAAGTATTAGGCTGGAAACTTCTCTCCCTTTGCTCAGCCAAACCTTCCCTCTTATTTGTCACCATTTGTACTCGTCTCCCACTATCATCATCTTGTCTCCTTTCAGGCTGCCCTGAGATTTGAACCCCCCCTCCCCATCTTCCCATGCACAAAAAACCTCCTACTTTGCCTTCCAATACCTCCTCTAACTGTTCATCTCCCACAAAGCCTTCCACAGATAATCACCACCTTCACGTCATGCTGTGACAAAACAAACTTTTTTTTTGACTGATCTACTTTGAATTTGATCTGATTGTAAAACTGACTAAATATGATCAGTTACAGGGAATGCTCCTTCTTATTTGTTTACAAAGTACCAAGCACAGTGGGTGCTTGGCAATAATGTTGTCAAAATGAGATTTTTCGGCAGCTGAACTACTGTAGCAGTAAGGAAAGCATTTGATACCACATGGGAAATTATTAGTTAAATTGGAGAAGATGGGGAATAATACAAAATTCAGAAGGTGGGTAAAGAACTGGTTAAAGAGGAGATTACAATGGGTCATGCTGAAATGTGAACTGTCAGGCTGGAGAGACATTACTAGTGCAGTTTCTCAAGGCTTGATCTTGGGACAAATTTTATCTGACATTTTCATTAATGACCTTGGCACAAAAAGTGGGAATGTGTTAATAAAATTCGCAGATGACACAAAGATGGGAGAATATGTGGATGACCTTGAAAACTGGAGTAATAGAAATGGGATGACATTTAATGGTGCAAAGTACAAGGTCATGAGCTTAAGGACTAACAAGAGTATTTATTATAAGCTAGGGACTTATCAGTTGAAAGTGACAGAGGAGAAGAAAGACCTGAGTGTATTGGTCAACCACAGGATGACTATGAGCTGCCAATGTGATGCAGCCATGAAAGAGGCTAATGCAATCTTAGGATGCATCAGGAGAGATATTTCCAGTAGAGATACACAAGTGTTATAACCACCATAAAAGGCACCGGTGAGACGTCATCTGGAATACTGTGTGCAATTCTGGTCTCCCATGTTTAAGAAAGATGAATTCAAACTGGAACAGGTGCAGAGAAGGGTACTAGGATGACTGGAGGAATAGAGAACCTGATTTATGAGAGGAGACAAAGACCTTGGCTTGTTTAGCTTGGCAAAAAGAAGACTGAGGGGAGATACGATTACTCTCTATAAAAACATCTGGGAGGGAGAGGAATTATTTAAGTTAAGGGCCAATGTTGCTACAAGAACAAATGGATATAAACTGATCATCAACAAGTTTAGGATTTAAATTACATTAGAGACAAATGTTTCTAACCATCAGAGGAATGAAGTTCTAGAACAGCCTTCCAAGGCGAGTAGTGAGAGCAAAAACCTAACTTTTTTCAAGGCTGAACTTGATAAGTTTATGGAGGAGATGGTATAATGAGACTGCCTACAATGGCATATGGCCCAACCACATCTGCTTTTAGCTAATATCTCATAAGACCAGAGATATTTGTGTTATGAGACAGGGAGAACAGAATTTCCTTTTCTACACCTCTAAACCATTCTTT